CTTAGGATACTTTCAGAAAGCTGTTCAGGAAGAACTGGATAGAATAACTGCATGGTCCTCCACATGGAACCTAAAATTCAACCTTAAACATGTGGTTGGATCTTTTTCGTTGCACTCTCAATAAATATCAAACTGGTACTTGAATCTATTGACTTGCCTAAACTCCGAAGTGTTGTTGACCTAGAACTCAGGTAATCTAGTGACCTGACATTTTCTGGGTAAGTGGCATCACAGACTCGAAAGTCGAGGATGCTCTTAGGATGCATACTCAGGGACTTTCACGACAATGAAGCCAAGCTAATTCTGTACAAAACCTGTGTGAGACCACTACTAGAATACTGTCCATTTATTATTAGCAGCACTCACACACGTGAAAATCTAAGAATAGAAAGTGTCCAAAGATATTTTACCTCAAAACTACTTGGCTACGAATGTAAGAAAGACTACATCTCACGGTGCATGATTCTACAACTTGAACCACTCTGGACAAGACGATTAATTATAAATCTATTATTCTTCTATAAGGTCCTACACAAAATATCATTCTCAGACAGTAAGGACATACATTTTGCACAAGGAGGCTCTTATGATCTGCGTAACCAAACTTAACTTAAAGTTAACATTCCGCGAACACTTCTTCACAGTCATGTATTCCAAAATATGGAACAACCTGCCCCTAGAAGTCAGGAACTGCAATAGGGTTATAAGTTTCAAACGCTCTCTGTACACACTATTTCGCTCTACTGGATATATAAATAAACTATTTATCCCTAGAACGAATCAACTATTAGTCTACTACAGTACCTAAACGCGCTTAAATACCTTTACTACTCTTTAAAAACTATAAATAAACTAGTAGCATAGATGCATAAAAAGACATAGTAGGAATAAATATTTGTTCACCAAATTACAACGTACAATGAATATAAACATATGTGTCCCACTCCACATACTTTTTCTCTACCCTCTGGTACTTTGCTTCTCGCCTCTTCTGTTGTAGTCGCCTTGTAGTGGAAGTTGCACAGATCTACATTACGACTGAAGCTGAGAAAAATATATCATCCCTCAAGGTTTGGCTAGTAATGGCTCAGCATCCTTGAAATCCACTGTCATTATAACAAGGCGCTGTACAGCATCTTATACAAGCACTGTCAATGATCTAAAATGGCTTACATATAGCCTTCTACGTGTTAATCAACTTACTCGTACGGGACAACCATGCAGTGACAAATGGCGGGCTCTGGCTGACTTGAGTGCAGTAAAACAAATCTGCTTGACAATGACCAATATGAATCTGTATTCAGTTGAATTCACATCTGGTATTACTTGCCATAAAAATGATGTCAAAGCCATACAAAGAAATCACTCATTTTGAATTAATATCCAATCTGAAATAGTAATGTTTCTTCAACTTCCTTAACTTATTGCGGCATGCCTTAGGAATGCATTCACCTTGGTGTCTACTTAATTTCACTACCTTCTTAGGAGCAACAGTATCTAGACAAAGAATAACATTCTTGTAAAATAGGGACACTACAGTCTCCAGGGAGTCAGTGGTAAAATATTCATCCCAGTGACAGAGTCGAATGAGTTCTTGGACCAATGCCCAGTCTGTATGTTTGTAACTACGACATATCAAGCTCCCTGAATCCTGTTTGTTTCCTGTATTTAGTGGTGAGAAAGGCAGAGAGCAGAGTATCATTCTATGGTTACTACTGGAAAATCTGTTAACAACATAGGTGGAGACTGGGATTATGTCATGACAAAACACAAGGTCCAACATGTTGTCACCACGAGTAGGTGTCTGGACGTGTTACTGCCACCCATAACAATCGATAATGGCAAGTAATTCGTCGAAACGTTGGAGGCCGGAACTACTTAACCAATTGACTTCTGGAAGATTGAAGTCCCCTGCAATTATTTTGCAATTAGTACTAAACGATGAGGCGTGTGCGAATGATTTAGCATCGGTTTCTTTGGTTGAACTTGGTGCTCGATAAACACAGCCTATGAGAAGCTTGTACTTATCTCCTTGTAAGACGACCCAGACTGAATCAGGTAGCTCGTTCAGTATTTCATCTTCCACCTTACTGGCTACGAAAGAGTTATGTATATGTATGAGACATCCTCCACCACGCTTGCAGTCTCTATTTGCACAGTGTACAGTGTAATCATCTATGCCTATATGCACATCAAGTACAGAGTATGAGCACCATGATTCAGTAATCAGAGCTACAGTAGGCTTGGCGATAAATAATAATGTCCTTAGTTCAGATATCTTATTGATTAAGGAACGTGCATTAATTAGCAATATCGTGAATAAGTCACGCGACACTACAAACTGGCCTAAGATATCACCATAACCTAATTCTGTTCGTGCGTCAGCAACGCAAGAGTTTACGAATGATACGGGGGTCGGACTGGGTGTTTGTACATCGGGTTAAAAAGCATAGCATCAAAAGGTCTACCCATCCATGTGCTATTCGTCATACCGGTACACACCTCCGTGTTCGTTCTATAACTTAAAGGAAATTGAGAGGGAAGGTGCTTTGGTTGCAAGACTTTGCGAGTTTTGGGGCCTGACTTTCCATAAGGTGGGGCATGCTGGAAATCTCCAGATATACTTGTGTTTCGAGAGGAGATTTTCGTATCAGGTGAGGGTTTATTGACACTTACTCTCAGCAAGCTTATTGAATACAAGTATTCTTCCCCATCATTAGTCTCAACCCGGCGAAATTTGTTCATCGTGGTGAGGTTACCACGTTTGGGTGAGAATTTCTTAGAACAACTTGCAGCAGTTCTAGCTATTTTAACATCTTTCGGTGAGACGTTATTTACAGGGGTACTGGTATCTAAATCAGTTCCTAGTTCCCTTGGCAAGCGTGGTTGTTGTGTAGTTTGCTGAATGCTACTGTCAGCATTAGGTGACTGTCACTGTGCACGATCCTTTTTTGGTTAATCTAAGCTAGAGGAGGTGACCGGGTTATTACTGCGCATTATTCTGCGCTGACACGGTGTTTTATCATGAGATATGGTTATAGACCTATAACTGCTATTCAGTCTTAGGTGATCCTGACGTTTAGTAAACTTAATAGAATCAAGGGAATTACTGAATTTAAAAATGATGGGACGATTTGTCTGGTTAAACTTTTTACGAAGTCTCTTGCATTCACATGGAACACTAGCCATGCCGCAACAAATCAGGATGTTGTCTTTTACAGTCTTCATAAGCAGAGAATCTGGGACGTTGTAAACTATAGCCTGGTGAGAAGTGGTTATACGCTTCATCACCTCCGCAGCCAAGCGGTCAATCAGATTTTCAGCCTTATTAGGTTGTCTGGAGACATTTTAGGATGTTTTTTAACCGACAGTCTATTGGATCTAAATCCGCAAGCTTGTTTTGAGTTACATCCAGTAAAGACTTAACCTGGCCTATATTAGAATGGCTTTCCGTGATATTTGAGATTGGCAGTGATATGCTATCAAACTGACTTAATTTTTCCTGAAGTTCACTTACTTGCCTCTGGATATCTTTCACAAGGAAGTTTAATTTACATAGTACGTCTTTTATGGTACTTTGACACGACAGTAATGAGTTAGACTTTCATTGAAATTTTAAAAGTTCACGTGTTTATATGCATGCGAATTCGCTTGTCACATTTATCGCTACCGGTTGACAAAGTGTGCATAGTTAACTTGGTGTGAAAACTACATTACGTATCGCTATAAAATGTACACTGGATTGAGTATGGCAGCAAATAACTGATGCTGCAAACTTACATCGCGTTAACGTTAGGATCGTCAGTGTCATTATGCAAGTCAGCATACAAACAGTTTTAGAATTCACGAATATGGAACATCTGGTGATTCTAAACGCCTGACAAAACACGAGGAAGTAATACCTACACGATACTCCAGAGAGTGCAGGATCGTCTGTGATCACTGTGCATAAGAGATCATCCATGATCTTGACCCCAAAATGAAAGATTACGAAGCGATAGGTGAGGGCCTGTCAACTGATGTTGGTCGGGTGACTAAATGCAAAAACACGGATAAAGGGTTCCCTGGAGAATACATGCAATTAGGTGGCTAATTAATAGCAGCCCCTTTCCTTACCTGTAACAAACATCAGATGACATCGAGATTCTTATGGGTGATGTGAATACATGCTAAAATGGAATAAAAAACCCAGGAAGAAAAGCCATCAAGCATGGAGAGGCACTTGATGAAGTCGATGACAAGGGAGAACTCTTCGTAGACTTCTTCACTCGAAGTGACTTAGTGGTCGGAGGTAGCAAGTACAAGACATACATTTCATAATGGGGATTTCATCACATATCACAATAGAAATCACATGCACTTCGGGAAACAGGCTGCTAGACACGGGATGTAGCATGAAAGATATAAGCTGAGAAATTTGCCTAGTGCAGGAAACCTTCAAGATAAATATGAAAGCCTTCAGAGAAGTCCGAGAAATATCGGGATTCAAGTTCAATAATGAGTGAATGAAAGAACACTTGCAAAGCTATCATCTGGACAAATTTAAAGTCGAATATGTGGCTTTTGAAATGCGGGCTGACGACAAATGTAAGTACTTTACAATGGAGCATCTTGTATTGTTAATTGTCGGAGAGTTGAAACAGCTCATCAGATGATCTGATGGAGAGGACATCAACATGCCACTCTTCTCTTTAGGACAGCACTGCGTTTTGCTGTGGCTTCTAAGTCTGAATGACTTGTAGATAAATTAAGACAAACTGATATGGAGGCTGCATTTATTACTGAACTCTTGAACAGAAAGGATTCTGGCCACTTGACCATTCTTAGGATTGAATTTCACCATTAGAAATAGAGGCGACTGCTCACATTGTGCACAACCTCAGATGTAGAATATTATAACACATACCATGTAGTTGAATATAAGTCCACCATACAAGATAACATAATATTCACTTTGATTTGTTTATATACACTATTTTCAATTTACTATTACTTACCTCTAACAAGCGCGCGCAGTTTAGAGCCGCGCCTTACTTTGTCTCGTTGTATTTACATGTCGCGTTACTTCTAGTCACTTTCTGCCTATTCCCGGCTATTTATTTCTTACAAATGTATTGGATATAATACTTAAATAGTGTTCCTTCATGAGATTGATTTAATTCCTTCGTATTCGTAATGTTTTGAATTGGTTCAGATCATAATATTCAGGAAATCAAATCGTGTTTGTCTGTTTGTTGGAAATATCATTTAATTGGCAGGTAACTTGTTTGAAATATTTGTACCTTATCTATATACTATCCTCTGCTTTTTGTGGTGATAAATTTGCGTAGTCACTTGTTTAAGACATGTTAAGTAGAATTTCATAGTATTCATAAATAAGAAGCGGTGTAATACCAACCTGTCTAACAGAATGGTGGTCATTATGTGATGGTAATATAACAACATGTTTTATCACTAGTTGGTGAAAATAGTTTTGTGGAATGTTTGGTATATTCCGATTTTCCAAATTTCCTGGTCTAATCTCATGAAGGAATTCTTTGATTTTTTTCCTTTCAACTCCGTAAATCATTCTCTATAATAAAAAAGGAAGGAAGTTGGAGAATTAGAGAATATCATGAATTGAAAATTTGCTATTTTATCTTAAATGAATGACATGCGTGCAGAAGTGAACAGTTCTGTTCATGTCTTTCAGGAAGTTATATGTTTTCGTAGTAACTTTAGCAAATATGTTCTCCTATCACCAGTACATACTAGCAATTATAATGCAAAACATCAATGTTAAGACTCGAATCGAACAGATATACACAAAGTATTTCGATTTATAATACTATTTGTATGCCCATCAAGTAAAATCAACATTTTCTGTTCTAGTTGGCGTTATGTTTTAATGCTTACTCCTTAGGCAGCAGTGGTTTTTGTTACTCATCTATTTAGTCGGTAGTAACTAATTCTCACTAGATCCTGTTCTCCTCTTCTCTACTTCCATCTAAGCGACTTCTAGCAACTCAGGCTAAGAGTTTAAACTGGAATTTGGTCACTATGTGGCATTGCTGTAATAATTTACCAAGTTCATGTGTATATATTACACTAAAAGAAATGTTATTCTTTTGTATTACAATGCATAACTAGAAATACTTTTAAGAGTCTGACTGACAGAATGGGTTTCAACATGGAACATTGCACAGAAGTGCAACAGTTGAAGTTTCCACATTCCATATAGCACAGAATAGTAGAGAAATATAATAATGAGTGAATATATCTGCTCCAGTGAGAACAATTTTGAGCCATACCACTAGTAGTCTCTTCCATTCATTGGTTCTTGGAATCCCGACGACAACAACCAGCCCGGTAGTCTACAACTTCTTAAGTGGCTCAAAATACCTATCAAAGACTTGATAGATTGATGCCAAGTTTTAGGTTGATCACTGCCAACTCTTGCCGGACCCAATCCTTTGTCAGTTAACATTGTTTATCAAGGAAGGAGTTGGCTCGGGATGTACAACACGTATACTTTGCCCCCTGTGCAGAGCTCTGTGTTAAATTTTAGTCAGTTTGTCGTAATTGTTTCCAGAGCTACATTATTTATGATATCTGCATACAGACATATCACATCAAAACTAACATTTTTCATTCTTCCAGCCTCTGTTTTTTCTCTTATGAACTAGTTAGTCTGGAAATTGAGCTATTTCTAGGTGAACAATATTAATACTGATTACTAATATGTTGCGTGTGTTAACCATGGGCAATATGAACTTTGATGACAGCATGCATTTCACTAGGATCATTAATTTTTAACACAAAGTAAAATTATTTTCATTTTCATGTAGTGAGTATACTGGATCAGCTGTAGATGTTTGAGTTCTGTTCGCAACCACATATACAAGTTTCTAAATTTCGTCCTTATAGACCTCGTGAATGCATTTATGTGCCTTCCTGGTAAAATCTGATTTCTTCATAACTACTGCTGAGGTATACTTGTCTCATTTGGCGGCAATCACCATGTTCTAGTTACCTCCTAACTTATTTTTTAGAACTAAGATTTCTGGTTCTAGTTCTTTCCTACCTCTTTTTAGTGTTACAGAGTTAAAGCACATTGTGCTTAAACCTGGTCAGCAATTGTAGTATCTACTACGCTTAATGCCACTCTAATACTGGGAATAACATGCTGAACTTTAATCCTTTCTCGAGATATTTCCTTTCACCTCTGCCTGGTGAGTTGCCGCTTCAAAGACATCCCTACCTAGTGAAGTCTGATGGTCGGGTAGTATTATAAATTGTATTCCGCTTAAAATAATCCTAGCTTGAAGATAGGGAGTGAAGTGTAGAGTGTGTTGATCATTTCACTTATTTGAGGAGTTGCATCAGCCTGAACGGACTGATCGCTAACGGAATCTCAACAGGAATACAAAAGGCTTGTGTATGATTTAACTTACGCCATCTCTAGTGTGAATATACTATCCGGTTGGCTATCGATGAAAGGATGTGTGAACTGCGAAGCAGTTGCTCCATCCGTCTTTATGGATGTGAAAGATAGCCAGTGAAAGTGGAAGACATGAATAGGCCATCAGTCTTTGATCATACATGTCTATGTTCGACCTCCAATATTAAGTGGTAAAACAGGGTAAGTAATATTAAGGTTAGGTTTAGAATGTTAGGTAAGCAGGGAAAATTAGTCGATGAGGTTGTAAAATTGCATCGATTAAGATGTCTAGTGGTGTTCAAACTAAAACACAGAATCAGTTCATGAAATTTTCACCAGTTAGTTTGAGACACATAGGACGGTGTTGACTCTCAGGTGTTAAGAACCAATGAAGGCTACAGGCAATTGTTGATATGCCTCAAAATCATTCTCAATGGCGAAGATGCTTTCACTCCTTGTGATTTGTCAGTCATATCCTATAAAACTTTATTGTTCTTCAATATTACCATTATTTTTCCCTCACTCACACTTCTGTTTATTATCTATCTTTAATGTCTTCTCTTGCTTTGTGTGGTACACATATGGAGTGAAGCAACTCAAACTTCTGCAGTTCTGTTCAAAGTTCTCTGTTGTAATCAGTCAGTCTTTTAGTTTTTATGGTTCATACTGAATCGAAAATAATCACTTCTAGAATACAACATCTTAAAAAGGATCTAAGTTATTGTATAATGTAGTTATAATCCGTCGTTGTTAGTGTCTCTCTATTAAGTTTTAGACAGCAAGTCGTTACCTTCAGTGCATATTAGTTAAGCTCATTTAATATGACACATTCTGACAGTATAATAATTATTATTACTGCCATTCGTAGCCCGCACGTGATCCGGGATCCGATCCCAGGATGACACACTCCTAAACCTTGCCAAGCTGGTAATAGAGCTGTTAAAGAAGAGAAAGTTGGTTGGCGTTGAAGCTAGCAACCCCACTCCACAAAAAGAAAGCCAGTGCTATTGAAACTTTAAAGCTCTAGCTTTAGAAGCCTTATGTTCCACTTAGAACGTAAAGGAATATAATAAATAATAATAATATAACTATGTGCTCAACTAGACAGAATTTCACTCAAGTGCATTACTAAGTTCTCACTCTTTTATGGCATTCTCATCCTTTATTTATTAGATGGGATTCTTCCTGTTACACAATATTGCGCAGGATTACTAAGTCGTATCAAATAATTTCGAAGGAATTTTCGCACAACTTTTTCCAAAACTCTTATTATTATTATTGTTCCCTTGGGTTCCTAGTGGAACATAGGGCTTCAACTGCACGTCTCCACTTGCTTCTGTCTTCTGCTGTACTTTTCACTTGCATCCATGTTAGTCCATACTGTTTCAACTCCTCTTCACACGATCTCCTCCATGTCACCCTTGGACGTCCCACTCGCCGCTTCCCTTTCGGGTTCCACTCGAGCAATGGCCTGACGCGCGATGTCACCCAGCGGCCTCCTCAGCGAGTGTCCAATCCATCTCCACTTTCTCCTGCATATTTGTTGGGCGATTGGTTCTTGTTTTGTTTGTTCCCATAGTTTCTTGTTGGTGATTCTTTCCGGTGGCCATCTGATCTTCAGTATAGAGCGAAGAAGACAGTTGTTGATAAAGGTCTGCAACAGGCTGTTGGAAATATTCTTTGTGACCCGCCAAGTTTCTGATCCGTACGTATAGAAGAACTGACTGACTTGACGTTTGTATTGAAAATCTGAATTTTGTTGTTGATGCTGAGTTGAGTGACGAGGATTTCCAGATTGGTTTCAGGTTGATGAATGTGTTTCTCGCCTTCCCGATTCTCGATTTGACATCCTCGTCCGTCCGTTCCTCCTGTAGTTGAGACAATGCTCCCTAGATAAGTGAATGAAGTAACCTCTTTCAAATCCCTCCCGTTGATGGTGATTGGCGCTCAACGGGAGAGAGACTCTCTCCAAAACTCTTAGAGAAGGAGAATTGTAACTTTAGATTCTGTCATAGGCATATGTCATCAAGAAAACAGATGAAAGTCAATAAGCCGTCGACTGGTATTCCGATGTATTGTAAAACTCTTTTCCATAAGGTAAATCCACGATTTTATCAGGCGATTGAGACCTAGGATTGATAGATTCCGAGACGAGTACAATCATCCCCCCAAAAAGTCCGTTTACTACAAATTTGTGATACAAAGCCATGACCGTCTAACGTTTGTTCTACGAACTCAATGATTTACTATGATTCTTTATCGAATTATAGGAAATCGATCTCAAAGCTGATTTACGGTTCAGTAGAAAGATTCTATGCTATTGAATACTATTAACTTTCATTTATAACTTGAAGCCAATTGGTTGATGGTGACTAGTAGTGGAATCCATCAGGATGCGCATTTCTGCCTATTTGGGACTCGTCATCTGGATGTACCTGCATCCCCCCAGTGCGCAATGATATTTCCATCGAGGCTCAAACCCAATGCCTATAGTTTCAAACGCCAAAGCGTTATCCACTAGACCACTTGAGTAACGAGAACCACCACTTGTGCAACGGGTCATATTAATTATTTAACTGAATTTTAGATATTCCCGTCGATTGATTGGACCGAAGTGCTCGGTCTCAGGTTGACATGACGGCTCCTTGTGCAGACTCTTCGACGATGTCTGGGCATGTAATTAGAATTTAATTGGTGGATGGTGACTAGAAGTGGAATCTAGGACGCACATTTCGTCGTATTTGGGACTCGTCATCTGAGTGTTCCCGTTCTTCCCAGTTTCATTTTATTGTTATGACTGAATCTTGCTGGACATTTGAAAACTAAAAAAACAACAACAACTGTACAAAACCTTCCAGCTTTCCTTTAGTTTTGGTTGGTTTTTGACGTAATCTACTCTGGAACTAATCATATCCCTACAACTCCGACAACTCTGTGTACTTCAATACTCTTGAAGATTTTCAAGTTTGACCAGGCGATTAGAGAACCATTGAAAACCTTCCATAAAGTAGTAGAAACACGTTTCATCCTAGTTTGGGACTCTTTATCAGTAAACACTCACCAGGAATCTTACCCATAGAAGCATCTGGTTAAAAGGCAAGCTTTGTAGACCATCCATCAGTCACTGGGACTCGACTTTCAAGAGCCTATGAATTTCATCTTCTACTAATTAGCAACTTTAGTGCAACTGGCACCAGCCAATATCTCGTGTGTATTTGTCCTCACTCCCGAACAGGTGGACCTCACTAGAACTGTAGACACCTTCATCCTTTAACCAATCACTAGTGAACATCTGTAAGTTTCCTAGATTCGAACGCCGATGGTTGATGAGTTTCAAACTGGGACGAAACAACTGTGTGCACTACTCCTTGGTTTAGTTTTCACTAGTTCTCTAACACTTGAAACTCTTTCCCAAAACACTCTTCTCTCTTCATAACATTTAAAAAATCTAAAAGTATTTGTTTGCAGTCAGTTCGTTAGTTAGTTAGTTATGTCTTATCATTTCTGTTGATAATATTTTCCTAAAGATATGTCACTTTATCGATTAGGTCTAATGAAACATATGTGCACATAAACGCACACACACACACAGACACAAAAAGTCGCATATTCAACTTTATTATTACTATCCTATCCATCTTGATATCTGTAGTTGCTATTATATATAAAAATGTGTAACACTTCACCTATTTACTATTTATAAAAGGAATATTTCTAAGACGAAAGGTAGTGGGGTAATAGTATCTCTCTCTTCCTGCCTGCCTTCCTTGCTTCCTTCCAATATCATTTGAACACATTTAGTATAATTAGTGCTATACTATTTTTGTACTGATTTAATTCGATTTTAACATTCCTGTTGGTTGATTTTTATTGAACTGAAGTGCCTGGCCTCTGTTTGTTGACGTATCTATCGACTCCTTATGCGTAGAAGCTTTGACGATTATTATTTCTTACTATTATAATAATTGTTTCCTTTAATTCCTAGAGGAACATAGGGCTTCAGCCGCGCGTCTCCATTGCGTTCGGTTCTCTGCTAACGTTTTCACTTGGCTCCAAGTCTGCCCACATGCTTTCATCTCCTCTTCACATGACCTCCTCCATGTCACCCTTGCACTGACGACCAACTCAATGGCTTGTCTAGTGATGTCACTTGATGGTTTCCTCAGAGTATGGCCAATCCACCTCCATTTCTTCTCGCTTATTTGTTGCACAATCGGTTCCTGCTGGGTTGGTTCGTTCATTGCCAGAGATCCCTGTTGCTGATCTTTTCTGACCGGCCATCTGATCTTGAGTATTGAGCGAAGACAGCTGTTGATGAAGGTCTGTAGTTTGTTTGAGGTGCTCTTCATGACGCGCCAAGTCTCTGATCGATATAGCAAGTAGCACTGACTTCACATTGGAGTTGAAAATCCGGATCTTAATTTTCGTGATGAGTAGTGCTGTTGACCTCCACACAGACTTGAGAGTAATGAAAGCTTGTCTTGCTTTCCCGATCCTTGCTTTGATATCTTCGTCAGTTCCGCCTGTAGTTGAAACGATGCTTCCCAGATGGTAGGTAAAGGAGGTTGTTTCTTTCAGGTTCCTCCTATTTATGCTGTTGTCGTTGTTGTTGCTGTTGGCCAGGAATCTTCATCACCCGACTCTGTTTTCTCTATGTTCACCTGAAGTCCTTCCTATCTTTGATGCTCGCCTTTTCTGCCAACTTGTTGCTTTTCACTTGCATATCTTCCAGTTTGTGAGAGCTTTGACAATATCTAAGGATTATTCAACATGAAGTTATTTTGGTGGAAAGTCCATATTGAATTAAATAACAATAACTGGTACCCATCGAGCACAACAGGTGGTAAGTGGCTCTTGTCGTGACCCGAGGTGTCTAGTGGATAGTATAACGCATTTAGCGTGCTTCAAACGATGAATGCACTGGGTTTGAGCTTCAATGGAGAATGTAGGTATATCCAGTTGATGAGTCCCCGATAGGACGAAATTCTCAGCGTGATGGAATCCATTGCTTGTTACCATCTAGCAGATTATTTGTTGTTTGATGATTAAAGAGCAATAATAGTCATCATTATTCTTTCAATTTACTGAGTAAAAAGGGGATAAACAGCTTTCAATCAAGAATTAAATTGCTGGCTAGTGACTTGCAGTGGATGGAATCCAGCAGGATGCGCATTTCATCCTATTTGGGACCCGTCAACTGAATGTACCTATATTCTCCAGTGAGTCAGTGATGGTGCCCCCCACACACACATTGCGGCTCGAACTCAGTACCGCCTATCGTTTCAAATCAAAGCTGAGTTATAAATAAATGGCCTAAACGACACACGTCGGCTCTCGTGTCTCAATTGGTCTACTGGATAACGCTTTGGCGTTTTCAATTCCAAATTGAATTATTAATCAATAGCTTTCAAGAATGATCACGAATTAAATCGGTGGCTAGAAATGTTATCGGATATCGCCAAGAATCTTCATCACCTCCATCTTCTCTAATATTCATTTGAAGTCTTATCTCAACCTTGCTGCTCGTCTCTCCTATCAACCTGTTGGTTTTCATCTACTGAACCCAGAACCAGTTATATAATGATGATGTATTCAATGAGGCACCCGACGATTCCATATCTCTGTGTTTATTTCTGTCACTGATTTCATCTATTCTCTGATTGTCTTTTCCAGTAAATCTCAAGTCCCTACCATGTACTATGGTTTATATTGTACAATTGTTTATCACTGATAATAAGAGTTTAGATCGTGACCAGTGGGTTGGGTGTCTGTCTGTCTGTTTTCGACATAGAACTTCGCACATATGTGCGGCAGTTCAAGTCGCCACACTCCATGTAGCACACAAAACAAGAGAAGAAAGTAGGAGAAATGCATAATATAGACAGTAAACAGAGGTGTGAGACAAAGGAATAGTAATAACGAAGAACAAAACAGTTTCATTGGAAATCATAAGTCACAAGGAGTGGATACATCTGCACAAGCCATTGAGAACGATTTTGAGCCATGTCACCAATTGTTTCCAACCATTGGTTTTTACCATCCCGAGGACTCCAACCAGGAAGTCTACACCTTCCTACGTGGCTTAGACTAACTGTTGTAGATTTCATTGACTGGTGCCATGTTTTCGTTTGACCGCCGCTAGCTCTTTTCCAGCCTGACCCTATATCAGCTAACATTGCCCGTCGAGGAAGGCGATGACTAGGCATACGTAACACATGTCCTAACCATCTCAAGTCGATGTAATTTCACAGCCTCGTCGATTGATTTCCCCTCCCACCTACCTAGCACTCGACGGATGCCTAACCTCAATATTGCTCACCTTATTATACCACTTCACACGGGAGATAGAACGCAGGCACCTATGATCAAAGACAACTAGCTGACCTTTTCATGTCTTTCACTCTCAATGGCCAGGTCTCACAGCCATAAAGGAGGACGGAGCGGACTGATGAGCAGTACACACGCCCTTTGGTCGATAGTCGAATATCACGTCTACGCCAGAGACGGCGTAAACTGGCATATGTGAAACTAGCCCTCTGTATCCGTACTGAGATTTCGTCAGAGATCAACCCGTTGGCGTTGGCTGATGGTACTTCCCAAGTAAGTGAAGCGGTCAACGTGCTCTACCACTTCACTTCCTATTTCTAATCTAGGAGTCGGTAGGTGTGACGACAAACACTCGTCACAGATGACATTGATGGCTAGTGCAGGTTTTGAATTGGAAGAAGTTGGAATTCATGGTCTGACCATTGGATGGAGTCTCAGTGGCTGATGAATGGAATACGAGCTAGCTCGCCCTCATAACCGGAGTGTCCTGGGTTAGAACTCTTGTGGTGAGTGGGTGCGTGCTATTGAAGAGCCCCATAGAACTAGGACAAAACAGTTATGTGTTGAGTACACCCTGTTAGTTTCTCAATGATTCTCTAACTGATATCTGCTCATCGTTTATGAAATCCTGTAATAAATCTTTTTTTATTTATTTTTTCCATTATAGATTGATTCTATTGAAATGGTATTCAATTCTCGTGAATTCAACAGATCTATTCTTCTCTTTATCATAATCATTTATGTTAATTATGCTATACATAAAGTAACTGCTGAAAGTATTCAACAATCATCATTAACCTCATTACAAAATAATAAATTCAAGTATTATTCAAGTAATACTATTGATCATGATAATGTTGATTTGATAAATGAAAAAGTGAATGCACCTCCATTCCTGCTAAATACGGATAGTTTAAAATCATGTGAATGTTGGAAATGGCCAAGTTGTGTTACTAATTGTACCTCCGGTAAGTATCATTATCATTATTATTATTATGCCTGACTTTTTTGTTTGAGTAGATTGAAAATCCCCATTGAGTCATATGGGATTGATTCAGATTTTGTTAAATAAGCTGTCCTTGACACAAAATGAGTCTTGAGCTGGCTGTTAACTGCTTGCATTCTTATTTCCCAAAGAGAAAGCAGTATCCCGTATGTAAGGGAAAATCTTCCTCTGCCTTGCTTATTACTGAAGTCGGTGTCCCTCAAGGTCCTGTTCTGTCGCGTCTTTCTTTTTCTTTCTTCTTACATGACCGCTTCACTTACTTGGGAAGTACCATCAGCCCCAACGGGTTGATCACCGACGAAATCTCAGCACGAATACAGAGGGCTAGTTTCGCATATGCCAGTTTACTCCGTCTCTGGCCTAGTAGACGTGATATAGGGCGTGTGTACTGCTCATCAGTCCGCTCCGTCCTCCTTTATGGCTGAGACCTGGTCATTGAGAGTGGAAGACAAGAAAAGATTAGCTGTCTTTGATCATAGGTGTCTGTGTTCTATGTCCCGTGTGAAGTGGTATAATAAGGTGAGCAATACTGAGGTTAGGCGTCGAGTGCTAGGTAAGGAGAGGAAGTCAATCGACGAGACTGAAATTATATCGACTGAGATGGTTAGGACATGTACTACGTATGCCTAGTCATCGCCTTCCTTGACAGGCAATGTTAGCTGACTTAGGGTCAGGCTGGTAAAGAGCTAGCGGCGGTCAAACGAAAACATGGCACCAGTCAATGAAATCTACAGCAGTTAGTCTAAGCCACATAGGAAGATGTAGACTTCCTGGTTGGGATCCTCGGGACGGTAAAAACGAATGGTTGCAAACAATCGGTGATGTGGCTCAAAATCGTTCTCAATAGCTGGTGCAGATGCATCCACTCCTTGTGACTTATGATTTCCAATGAAACTTTTGTTCTTCGTTATTACTATTCCTTTGTCTCACACCTCTGTTTACTGTCTCTAATATGCATTTCTCCTACTTTCTTCTCTTGCTTTGTGTGCTACATGGAGTGGAGTGTGGCGACTTGAACTGCCGCACATATGTGCAAAGTTCTACGTCGAAAACCGACCTACCGACCCACATGACACTTGCTACTTTAAGGAGATTTCAACTTTATAGAATATGCTGATAGTCTCGGTGTCTCGTTGCTAGTCACTACCGGATATAAGGCAGCCGTCTCAGCTGGCTGGTTTCACGTTAAATCCCTCTAAATGTCAGACATAAACGTAGTCTAGAAGAACTTATTCGTTAGCAAGATACTTTTAGCATAAAAGCCACTGTAATAGAAACTATGTCAAGCATAAAATACCCTGGAATAGTTCTATCCTCCAACCTTCCTTGGTTATCCCATATTCAAACAGGGACTTCAGATCATGGCTTCCTAAATGACTTAAGAAGCGAATTGAATCTCCAGAACCCAATAATGGTGAGAACAGACGACCAAGCAGGTCTATTGCATAATAACATAATATAGAAACAGGACACGAAATTGATGTTTACTTACACACGTCTCTTCAACATGTCTATAAAACGTGTTTGAGGCATATCCTTGGGCAAATAGGAAGTTTAAACAGCCATTACGCATTCCTCAAAAATAATTCATCATCACGTTAAACCTTCCTTGGTAATTTTTTTTGTTTTGACTGATACCAGGGCAGATGTACTATGAAAAAGTATACCTCATCAATGTGGTTCCCTTGAATATGAAGAATAAGCTACCATTGCTGGCTTCATCAATGTGTACCTCTTAGTGTCAGATACTTAACTTCACCTTTGGGCATAAATCTAATCGTTCATAAGATGCTTTTATCATAGGCGACACTGAAATAGAAACTAAGTCAAGTATTAAATACCTTGGAATAGTTGTATCCTCTGATCTTTCTAGGTTGTTCCATATCTTGTTGTCGATTTCTAAGAAAATATTTCGTCTAACCACTTTCTACGTTGAGAAGTTCAGAGAATCAGGAATCACTCAAACTCTCTATACGTTTACTTTATTTGTTAACTTGTGCATCTTACCTATTGTTCTTTAATGCACTCCCACCCCCCTTGTTAGTCTTTCTTGGTCTAGTCATTCAAAAACAACTATGTCATATTGTGAAGGGTATTCAGGGTTGTCAGTAGAGCAAGTAGTGTACCGCTTGTAAGTCGATAGAAAACCTGAACTCATGAAAGTAATGCTCTAAATCCTTATTGTCTAACTCAATCAACACCTTCTTTATTCACATAAATCCACCCCTCTCCGTTGAATCTCATCAAGGAGGACTGACTAGAAGTCATTATAAGAGATTATATGCTCAATTGCACAACTATGCGTAAAAACTCAACGATACTCTATTTTTCCCTCCCGCGTTCTATGTGATAGAGACACTCACTGTTAAGCGTGAAACCCATAACAAGTTACTATGTAATTAGCAAAGTAAATGGCTCTCTTTTTTATACTCCTATCTGCTTAGCAGTCCGCTCCATTCTCCCTGGCCATTGAGAGTAAAAGACGCGAAAAAGCTGACTAGCTGTCTTTGGTCATCGATGCTTGCGTTCTGTCTTGCGTATGAAGTGGTATAACAGAGTGAGCAATATGTAGGTTAGGCGTCGAGTACCAGATAAGGACGGGAAGTCAATAGACGAGGTTGTGAAGTTACGTCGAGTAAGAGAGATGGTTAGACCATGTGTTACTCCCACCTAGACATCCGTCGCCTTCCTCGATGACGGGCAATGTTAGCTGACATAGGATTGATTAGGTTGTTAGATAACAGTTAGTGGTGGTCAAACCAAAAAATGGCTTCTTTAGTCAATGAAATCCACAACTGTTAGTTTAAGCCACCTACATAGGAGGGTGTAGACTTCATTACTGGTTGAGGTCCTCAGGATGGTAAACACCAATGAAGGCTGGAGACATTAAGTGATATGGCTGGCTCAAAGTCGTTCTCAATGGCTGGAGCGCAGATGCATCCACTCCTGGTGACTTATAATTTCCAACGAAACTATACTGTTCTTCGATATTACTATTCTTTTTGTCTCATATCTCTGATTAATGTCTCTATTTTGCGTTTCTGTGTACTTACTTCTCTTGCTTTGTGTGCTGCATGGAGTGAATGTGGCGAATTGAACTGCTGTACATCTGTGCAAAGTTCTATGTTGAAACCAGTCAGTCAGACTCCTTTCTGTAATTTATAGTAACACTATTTCTATTGTTTTATACTTTTGTACACTTTTTGAATTTATTCTTTCTGCTGATCCCAAATAAGATCCTGTCATCAATTTTTGGTTATGAATTTGTTGTTATTGTTGTTGTTCTTGAGGGATTTAGATAGAATATTGTACGAAATGCTGAGAATTCCATACCGCATATCATAAGTATCCCCACCGACGCGCTAAATCACCAGTGGGAAGGAGTTAGAATTCATGCACTGGCTATTGAATTGGATCCCAGTGGCTGAATGGTCTATGCGCTCTCTAGTCTCGTAACCGGAAGGTCCTGGGTTCGAACCCCGGTGCAGTGGGTGCATACTGCCGATAATTCCCAAACTAGGCTGATGAAACAGCTGTTTAGCCACAGTACTCCCTGTGGCTGGTTTTCCAATGGTTCTCTAACTGGTATCAATCCGTGATCAACTCGTTAAGCATAGCTAACCCTTAAAAACCAAACTATGGAAAATTAATATGATGCTCGCTAGTGACTTGCTACAGGATGGAGTTTGCTGGAGTTCTAGTGAGAAGTCTTGACCAGTGAGGTCCAATTATATGTCACGTGTGTGGATGGATGTTCCACCAACGACAATGGTTGGGGGTCGCGCTAAATCACGAATTGGTAGAAGGTGGAATTCATGAGCCATTGAACCGGGTCCCAGTGGCTGAATGGTATACGAGCTTGCGGCCTTGTAACCGAAAGGTCTTGGGTTCGAACCTCGGTGCATTGGATGCATACTGCCAATGATTCCCAAACTACGCTGATGAAACAGCTGTCTAGCCACAGTACTCCCTGTGGCTGGTTTTCCAATGATTCTCTAACTGATATCAATCCGTGATCACAATGTAAAAACAAATCTAATCCTTACAAAGCAACTATAGAAAATATTTATCATTAATTGGGAATTGTTTTTTTCAAGCCATCAGTCTTTGTGTGTGTGAGTGTGTCAATACAGCTTATAGTCTTTAAAAAGAAAGTAATATAAAATCTCACGTATTTCATTTTCAATTATCATTAATCATAATATTTCAATAAAATTTAAGATAAATACAGTTCTTCATGAAGGATATGAGGTAGGGGTTGGGGGGCGAGGAGTACGATAAGGTCGTGAAGTGAGGTGAGGCGAGGAATAAAGGTAGTAGTCGAAGCATCTCTCTATGTGTATGTTATTATGCTCGTTTTAATGGATTCATGTCAATGATTTCTCTCTCAGTAATGACATGATAAATGCACGATCACACGATAATTAATTATACCTTTTCCCGCGGAAATCTATTTCAAATTTTTCTTTTGTTGCTTATTTACTGTCCTGTATCTGAAATTTATTCATTTCACTTCAGTGACATGGGGAAAAGGGGAATTTTAGAAAAACAAAATATTTTTTTAAAATTATCTAGTCAACAAATCTTGATCGGGTAGCTGTACACTATCACACACAGAGGAGTTAAAAGCATTATTATTATTATTGTTCCCTTGGGTTCCTAGTGGAACATAGGGCTTCAACTGCACGTCTCCACTTGCTTCTGTCTTCTGCTGTACTTTTCACTTGCATCCATGCTAGTCCATACTGTTTCAACTCCTCCTCTTCACACGATCTCCTCCATGTCACCCTTGCACTGACGTCCCACTCGCCGCTTCCCTTTCGGGTTCCACTCGAGCAATGGCCTGACGCGCGATGTCACCCAGTGGCCTCCTCAGCGAATGTCCAATCCATCTCCACTTTCTCCTGCATATTTGTTGGGCGATTGGTTCTTGTTTTGTTTCTTTGTTCCCATAGTTTCTTG